CTTCTCGATGCTGTTCATTTGGAATGAGTGAAATGCGTTGTTAGGCAAGGTTTTCCTCACTCAAAAAGAAAAGGGAGATTTTTTTCAGTGCTTCTCAAAATTTCACACTTTTTCCAGTAGAAAAATTGAAAATGTCCTTAAACTTTTTGGTGCTTTCATCTTGAGTGTGAAAACCCTTTGGCTTAAGAATCATTTTACTTCTTTTCAGTCCCCCCCCCCCAAGTTTTCTAATTTTTCCTTTGGAAAAACTTGAGGGGGGGAGACCCTGGGTGGGGGAAACCATCTTTCCCCCAATGTTTCTGGGTCCCCCTGGGGTCTTACATTTGTATGAGAAGTCATATAGAAGAGAAGAAAGAAGAGAAGAGATTGGATTCGTACCCTGCCCTTTACTACCCAGAGGAGTCTCAGAGTGCCTTCCCCTCCCCACAACAGACACCCTGTGAGGTAGGTGGGACTGAGAGAGTTCTTTCAAGGACTGCCCTTGAGAGAACAACTCTGAGAGAACTTGTGACTTACCCAAGTTCAGTCGCAGCTGCATGTGGAGGAGTGGGGAGTCAAACCTATTTCTCCCAGGTTAGAGTCTGCGCTCCTAGCCAATACACCACACCGGCTCCTTTACATGAATGGGAAATGGCGTCTTGATTTTTGTGACCGTAATGGAAGCCGGGTAATGGGGATGGAGATAAAGAGTTGCTGCTGCAAGCAATTTACTTGGGAACTGACAATCTGATTATTTCTCCCATCTTGAACCTTCTGATCTGCTTTTGGCTTCTGTTCAGAGGGGCTCAGCAGTTGTTTCTCCTACACGTCATGTTTCCATGTACTTCGAGTGATTCAGTACTACCATTTGCTTGGCTGAATAAGACAGGAAAACAGTTTTGCTGTTCAGAATGACTCGGGGTCATGGTGAATAGCTCAATGAAAACATCAATTCAATGTACAGTTGCAGCTCAGAAAGCAAACTCCATGTCTGTTGATTATTAGGAAAGAGATTATGGCCCTGGTCATTTTTGTTTTTTCAATGCCTTTGTGTAACTCAGCGATGTGCTTACGTTTGCAGCGCATCTCCAGTTTGGTTTGTCCCATCTCCCCAAAAGACAGACGGTTGGAAAAGGTGCCGAAAAAGAACAATAACATATTGGGAGGGGGAGTTAGTTTTCTATGAAGAAAGCATGAGGTGTTTGGCTTTTTTAGTTGAGAGGGAGGGACTGTAGCTCAGTGGTAGAGCCTCTGCTCAGCCCACAGGAGGTCCTGGGCTCCATCCCAGGCATCTCCAGCTAAAAGGGCCAGGTCATAGATAGGGATGTGCATTCGGTATTTACTGAGCTGCATAAATACCCGAATAATGCCTTTGTGGAATTTTCCAGGAATTTATTAAGCCGAATACCAAATCACAGCATCTATTCGATAGCCGAATAGAGATTCCCGAATACTGTTTGGCTTTATTTGGCTATTATTCGGCTCCCTTATGCCCTATGGGGCCAATAGTCAATGGCAAATCTGTTAGGGTAGATGCGGTGGTCGGAGGGGGGGGGGTTGAGGTAGAAGCACCAAATTTGCAGCGTGTCTGCTGGAGCCTCTCCCCAAAAGGACCACCAAGTTTCAAAAAGATTGGGTTGGGGGTCCAATTCTGTGGGCATCAAAGGGGGGGACACACCCCATCCTCCATTGTTCCCATTGAGGGAAAAATAGCAAGGCAATACAAGCCCAACAGAATGTTCCGGAGAATCGCTGCAGTAGGAAGTGAAGTGTGTGTGTGTGGGGGGGGCATGTTTGCAAGGCCAGCAGCAGACCCAGTGCAATGTGACCAGCAGAACCAATGCGGCCGTGGCAGTGCCAAAACCCAAAAGGACTAAGGTCTAGAGCAACTGCGGTATGAGGTTGCTTGGCTTAGAAAAAAAGGCAAGTAAGGGGAGACATGGTAGAGGTCTATAAAACCGTGCATCTTTCTTAGGGGAAACTTACAGTCAGAGTTGTGCAACAGTGGAATCAGCTGCCTATGGAGGTGGTGAGCTCCTCCTCCCTGGCAGTCTTTAAGCAGCGGCTGGACAAACACTTGTCAGGGGGGTGCTCTAGGCCAGGGGTGTTGAATTCATTTGTTACGAGGGCCGGATCTGACATAAATATGACTTTGTCGGGCTGGGCCATGTGTACCATAAACGTAATGCCGGGAACCGGTGATATAAACTGTACAAAGGATAGCAGCTGATAAGCTCCGATTTGGTGTATCCTCACTGCAAGGCCTCATAGGCCGGGAAGGAAGGGGGCGCAAAGGAAACCCACACAGGCAGACTGGAGACCAGTGTTCCCTCTAAGCTGAGTTAGTGTGAGCTAGCTCACAGTTCTTTAGCCTCCAGCTCACAGATTTTTGTCTTAGCTCAGGAAGGAGGGCTCCCGAGCAAACTAATCTATGCAGTAGCCAAGTCGCTCGCTCGCAGCTTTAATGCCAGTAGCTCACCAAGTAGAATTTTTGCTCACGAGACTCCACAGCTTAGAGGGAGCATTGCTGGAGACCCAGCGGTGCAGCACTGGGCCGATGCTCCCACCCTGCTTGACTGCTGCAGATGAGGTTGTTCCACCATGCTGAAGCCACAATTGGAGTGGCTCCGCCCGCTCCCCCCCCCAGCAGTCGCCTGTTCGCTCCCTTCCACTAGTTGCTTGCGGGCCGCATAAGAGCCCCAGATGGGCCGGTTCCGGCCCCCGGGCCTTATGCTTGACACCCCTGCTCTAGGCTGATCCTGTATTGAGCAGGAGGTTGGTCTAGATGGCCTGTCTGGCCCCTTCCAACTCTGTGTGATTCTGTGGTTCTCTGCTGTTGCAGTCACCCTGGTGGTGGCCACTGTATGAACAGAATGCTGGAATTGATGGGCTTTTGGTCTGATCCAGCATGGGTCTACTTAACGTTCCTTAACAGTTCCTGATGGATGTACCGCTAGATCGGAGTCCAATAGTCCCTTGGAGCCCGACAAGGTTTCCAGGGTATAAGCTTCTGACAGTCAAGGCTCCCTTCATCAGACACAAGCACAATAAATGACAATTCCTGGGATTCTCCCCTCAGGCGATCCTAGATATGAGCTGGGATCAGGCTAAGTTAGCTCTCAAACAGAGAATAATGGATATAGAGAGACAAGCGGATCTTGATAGGTCTCGTAAATTCAGAGTGCAACCTAGCAGTTCGAAAGCAAGAAATTGCAAGTAGGTAAATAGGTACCGCTTCAGTGGGAAGGGAACAGCGTTCCGTGCGCCTTGCTGTTTAGTCATGCCGGCCACATGACCACAGAAACGTCTTCAGACAGCGCTGGCTCTTCGGCTTTGAAACGGAGATGAGCACCGCAACCCTAGAGTCAGACTCGACTGGCTTTCAAGCAAGGGAACCTTTACCTTTTTCCTGCCAACCTAGCAGTTCGAAAGCAAGAAATTGCAAGTAGATAAATAGGGACCACTTCGGTGGGAAGGTAACAGCGTTCTGTGCGCCTTGCTGTTTAGTCATGCTGGCCGCATGACCACGGAAATGTCTTCGGACAGCGCTGGCTCTTCAGCTTTGAAACGAAGATGAGCACCGCAACCCTAGAGTCGGACTCGACTGGCTTTCGAGCAAGGGAACCTTTTACCTTTACCTTTAATCAAATTAGATATCGTTTTGTCCCGATGGCATATTTAACACACCTTGATATAAATAAATATAGAAAAGCCTTCACACTAGCTAGATGTGAGGCTCTCCCCTCTACAGTGCTCGAGGGCAGATACAGAAGAGTTCCCCTTGCACAGAGACTTTGTAAACGTGAGTCTGGGGAGATAGGAACTATTGAAATATGATGTTTAGATGCAAGTGGTACAATGAGGCTCGAGACAGATTAATTCAGCCTCTTATTTAAAGAGATGCCTGGGCAGACAGACGCGGAGTGTTGTAATAAAATGTTATCGGATGAAAACCACTCTATTACTAAGATTGTGGCTAAATTTTGGATGGCATGGCTGTTGCATTCGAAAAGGACAGCTTAACTTGTAAAATCGCAGTTCTTTTCCGTGTGTTTTTCTAGTGAATCTGTTATATGTATTCTATATTTTTATATTGTGTAGTTTGTGATGCTTTATTTTGGTGTCCCTCGGCGGGGTGTTTGGATTGATCTGGCTGGATGCCGTAATAGAATTTCATTCATTCATCAGACACAAGTAGGAATAGAGAACTTTAACGTGTTTTTCGATACAACAATTCAAAAACACAACATATAAACATAACAAGATAATATAACTTTTCAAAATGTTTTATAATAAATTCAAATACTTAATAATTCACATTATACAAACATTATATATTTATATAATGCTTAATCCAATCAGAGCAGACGTATATTAAACTTTTTCTTCCTAAGTATATAGTGGTTTCTGCCAACTCTCCTACTTCAATAAAAAATAAAATGAAAATACCTGTCAGGAAGTTTATATAAACGATTAGGAGTAGTATTAATAAATTCAAAATAAGAAAACCATCTATTCATAAACTTGTTTGCTAAAGAAGAAGAAGAGGCTGATAAAATCTGTTCCGCAGTTTTATCTGATGCTGCTAACACCCATTGTTTGATTGAAGGCACTTTGGTTTGATTCCAGTGTTGGGCTATCAGGGATTTAGCCGCTGATAATAAAATTGAGATCAAGAACTTTAAAGTTTAAATAAATAAAATTAAAAAAAATAGGACTAGGGAACTGAGTCTGTATATTCTGGTCAGAAGGAGGGAGGAGTGTGGTAAAAAAATGCTTATAAAGGGGTGGTGTAGTGTTGTTTGGTATACAACGAGGACGGAAGGTAGGAGAACTAGGCCTTGGCTTCACCTGTAGAAAAGCATAAGGTACAGTGGCCAGTCAATCCAGTATAGAAGAAGAAGAGGAAGAGATTGGATTTATACCCTGTGCCCTTCACTCTGAGTCTCAGAGCGGCTTACAAACTCCTTTCCCTTCCCCTCCCCACAACAGACACCCGGTGAGGTAGGTGGGGCTGAGAGAGCTCTTGAGAGCAGCTCTGAAAAAAACTTATGACTGACCCGAGGTCACACCGGCAGCTGCTCGTGGAGGAGTGGGAAATCAAACCCGGTTCTCCCAGATTAGAGTCCACTGCTCTTAACCACTACACCAAACTGGCATGTCAACCAATCCATGATGGGCTCCGCCGCGAGGACCAACAAATCGAAGGGCATACAGACACTTCGGGCGAAACATGCAACCAGAAGTTAACACCGAGATTTTTCTCTGTGACGGCCATTGCCCCGAGAGTTCGTCTCAGATTTTAACTTGTGCTTTTCAAGGGGGATAGCTGGTGCGCCGCGTCAAACACACCTCGCACTGTGTCAGGGACAGGCTGTAACTAATACGGCTACTCCGATAAGAAGCACACACACTTGCCACAGCCCCTCCTTCGTGTGACCGTGCCCTCAACCTCTTTTGGTTGTTCTCTCTCTTTAAAAAACAGGTTATAAAAAGATCACCGCACGTCACCTCGTCCCAAAGTCATTCCGTTTAACGTCTCCGGGGTGATTGAACGGTTACGTTGATGCAACATCAGGAGGTAAAATGCTAATGGAATAATCTCCGAAGGCACAAGCCGGCAAGCTGCGCTTTCCAAAGAGCCACATCCACTGCTCCCTCTGAGCTGCGGGGCCTTGTGAGCGCTGACAGAAACTGCTCTTTTTCAAGGGCAGCTCTGACAGAACTATGGCTTGCCCAAGGTCATCCAGCAGCTGCAAGTGAACATAAGAGAAGCCAATGTTGGATCAGGCCAATGGCCCATCCAGTCCAACACTCTGTGTCACACAGTGGCCAAAAAATACCAGGTGCCACCAGGAGGTTCACCAGTGGGGCCAGGACACTAGAAGCCCTCCCACTGTTGACCCCCCCCCAAGCACCAAGATGACAGAGCATCACTTGCCCCAGAGTCCCTATCTATACCTTTTGGCTAATAGCCACTGATGGACCTCTGCTCCATATGCTTATCTAATCCCCTCTTGAAGCTGTCCATGCTTGTAGCCGCCGCCACCTCCTGTGGCAGTGAATTCCACGTGTTAATGACTCTTTGGGTGAAGAAGGCCTTCCTTTTATCTGTTCTAACCCAACTGCTCAGCAATTTCACGGAGTGCCCACGAGTTCTTATATTGTGGGAAAGGGAGAAAAGTACTTCTTTTTCTACCTGCTCTATCCCATGCATAACCTTGTAAACCTCGATCATGTCACCCCTCAGCCGTCGTTTCTCCAAGTGGAGGAGTGGGGAATCAAACCCGGTTCTCCCAGATTAGAGTCCGCAGACTTAACCACTACACCAGACTGGCTCTGTACTTTCTGAACAGCTCCTGAAATGGGCGTACCCCCATAATCCCCCGAGCTTTGGTTATTACTTAGGGAGATGTTTTAAGCAGGTCATTATGACGGTGCTTTGCTTTGGGTCTGCAACTGCCTCTTTCAGAGCATCTGTTGCCGTTCTGTTTCTAAATAATTAAAAAGCAATCAGATCTTTCTTGGTGTCCTGGCAGGTTGCTTCATGGGAAGCCCCAAGCTGGTCCATCAAGAGCTGCCCAACATAACTCTTAAAGATCCGTTAATTTTACAGCGTTCCTGGCACGCTTTTGGCTCTTGGCCGTGTCCCTTTTAAGCGCAGGGGCGGCACAGAGCTTCTGCCAAATCCTGTTTGTTGAAACTTCCCTATAGAAACTAAGAGGGGAGAAACCAGACTGCATTCCAAACGATGGCTATAATTACCCACGTTAAGCTGACCTTCATGGAGCCAGGAAAGAAATCAGGCTCTCAATTAAGAAGGGAGATAAACTGGTGATGTGTAAAACTTCTTTAAAAGCACAGTCAAACCAGTCAGAGTTTGTTTTTATCAGAGGTGTGAATGGCCCTACTCCCTCCCTTTCTGGTGGTCTGATTCTGGTGTTCTTTATGTTTTTTGCAATATGTTCCTCATAGTCCCTCTTTGCCTGTCTCGTCAGCGACTTGCATTTTATTTGCCAAAGCCAGTATTCCCTTTTATTTACCTCGCCCGGACTAGCCTTCCACCTCAATCCGACTCAGGTCTTTCGACATCTTTCCTGAAATGGGTGGTTCTGGAGTGGGCATGCACCTCTCGTCTTCCACAGTGAAGGCAGAGGAAGCGTCTTTGCAGTTTCCGCCGCCACCTCCTGTGGCAGTGAATTCCAGGTGTTAATCACTCTTTGGGTGAAGAAGGACTTTCACCCCGTGCTCACCCAGAAGAAGAGGAGATTGGATTTATACCCCGCCCTTCACTACCCAGAGGTGTCTCAGAGCGGCTTACAATCTCCTTTCCCTTCCCCTCCCCACAACAGACACCCTGTGAGGTAGGTGGGGCTGAGAGAGCTCTTGACAGAAACTGCTCTTTTTCAAGGACAGCTCTTATCAGAACTACGGCTTGCCCAAGGTCATCCAGCCAGGTGCAAGTGGAGGAGTGGGGGAATCAAACCCGGTTCTCCCAGATTAAGGTCCGCGCACTTAACCACTACACCAAGGGCCCCCAACTGCCAAGTGTTGGTCATTACTTGACAATGACCAACCATCGTGCTGTGCAGGTGGAGATCATAGAATCATAGAGTTGGAAGGGACTTCCAAGGTCACCTAGACCAACCCCCTGCACAAGGCAGGAAATTCACAAATACCCCCCCCACATCTCTAGTGACCCCTGTCCCATGCCCAGAAGATGGCAATAAACCTCCAGGATCCCCAGGTAAACTGGCCTGGAGAAAGATTGCTTCCTGACCCCCAAAGTGGCGATCAGCATTTCCCTGGGCGTGTAAGAAAGGGCCACGAGAACTGAGCACTGAGGCAACCCTCCCTGCCCTCCCTTCTCGTGATCTGACAAAGTTCACAGAATCCGCATGGATGTCCGATGGCCACCTGGCCTCTGTTTGAAAAGTCTGGAGATGAGCTGTAATTCCGAGGGATCCCCAGGCCCCACTGGAGGCTGGCATCCCAACACAACAACACAACACAACAACATCGCCTGGTGATTCCAGGCCCCAGGGAGGCAAGGCTTGCTGTGATGAGGGCCAGGTCCTTCTCAGTGGTGGCTCCTGCCTGATGGAATGAGCTCCCGGAGGAGATCAGGGTTATCGTATCACCTCTCAGTCGTCTCCCCTCCAGGCTAAACAGACCCGGCTGTGTGTTCCGATCCCCTTGGCTTCTCCAGGAAAAGTGGCTGCCACACGGGCTCATACAGCGATGGCTCAGGGGCTAAACGCCACCAGTTGCGTCATCGGGCCTTAAAGGCTGTACTGTGTGGTGGATTCTCCCAGCTGTGAAACGGCAATAAGTCAGCGACGTCATGGCTAAACGGGCAAGCATGACTAAAAGAAAAATTCCGCTGCACAAGTTCCAAGTGCTAGGTAAAAAAAGCTTCTACCATGTGTAGCTAATTTTGGGGAATGCTACTGAGGCACGCTCTGACCTGGTTGGCGCAGGCTAGCAGAGTCTCACCTGTATCTCCTTCTCGGCAAGCATTGTGCAATGTATGTGGGAGATGGCACCATCCCAGGTATATAACTGCACGAGACAGCGGCTTGCCTTCCTTTTTTGCTTTGCCTCTGTTTTTAAGCAACAGTCTTTTCTCCCTACTTTCCTAAAAGACAGAAAACGATAGATAAATGAATGGAATGGGCCATGTCTGCTGATGCTTTCCAGCCCGATTGGGGAAAAATAATTGAAGCTTTTGGTTGGATCGCGCTGTTCATTCTTCAGCAAACATGCCTCCATAGTAAGACAGGAAGATTATAACTTCTCCTGGGGTGGAAGAGTGTGCGTTCCATATACTTGGGGAAGGAAGAAAAAGTCAGCGGGCGTCTAGTGTGTTTCTCTCTTCCAGTGCAGGCAAGGGGATTGCGCCAATTAACAGAACGGGCTTGCGTGTCAAAGAACATCTTCCCTGAATTACCCTCAGCGCTCAAATGGCACGCGAGCTAGAAACTTATTTTGCAAAGCTCCTTGGGGGTGCGAAAAGCGTTGATTTGAAGGTTTATCTAACTAACTGGAGTCCCCATCTGTTCCATCCGAGTTGTTAAGGTCAGATTCAACCTTGGTGGTTAGCAGCATTTGACTGCTTAAGGGCAATATGCTGGTCTCTGTTTCTGGTAGTGAGATGCGTTCCAAGTGGGTGACAGTCTGGTTTCTTTAGTGCTTTCCCCTGTGCTACCAGTAGAGATGTAACATTTCTGGAAATTTTGAAGCTCGGGAAAAAAAAAGTGTTTTTTTCCTGGAAAAAACGGAAAGTTTTGGAAAATTTGAAAAAATGCTAATTAGCATTTCTTTTGTCTTTTCTAGATTGAAAGTCATTCTGTTACTTTAGGAACATAAAATATGACTATGGACATTTTTACTTGGCATGAAATTATCATAAATAGCATATTAAAAATATAGTGTATCCAAACAATTATTACAAACAGAATACCCACCCACATGCAAAAACAAAACTGAAACTTTTTTATTTTCTTGTGACAATCGCACCTCCTAAAGGAAGAAATGCATCTTGTTCTTGCATTGGCGAGTTCAGTTTGTAACCTAGGACTTGCTTGTCCTCAGTGCATAGAAATTAGATCAATCAGATACCATATATATATATTTTAGAAATGATTTGGAAAATATTTGAACACCTTGTCTTAAAATATTTTATTCATAATGTTAAAATAAAACGTTCCATAATCAATTTTTTTTCTTTTTTCAATTTTTCCAATTTTTCGGAAAAAAACAAAAAGGCTTCAGGAAAAAAACAGAAAAAAACCATTTCTCCCCCGAATTTTTCCGGTTTTTTTCCGGGCCTTCACATCTCTAGCTACCAGTCAACTGGAAGCATGTTGGTGTTGTCCAAAATGCCACTGTGAAGCCCAGTGTGTAAGTAGATGTATGTATAAATTAGTTAAGTAGAGTGCAGAGTGAGATCTAATGTGATATTAAATTGATTCTATTAAGTGTCGATTAATGTGGTATCATCAATATATATTTATAATAATTGTTTAAAACAGCTAAAAAAATTTTTTTTAAAAAAACCACCCCAATGAATTAGATCCCCCAACAATCAATTCAGTTTAAAATGTAGAAGTACAACCAGACTTTCAATTTATCTACGTTCAGTGGAGACGGGTTGTGCCATCAATCAGCATGTGAGCAAAAAATTGAATTTTGTGTAAAAATGAGGGCGTGGGCTCATGGAGGGGGGGGGGAGCTGAAGGCGAGACGGCTAAGGTGCAAAGAGGTGCATAGAATCTCCATGAAAATACCTTCCCCCCAATGCCATTGCTGTGTCTTTAGGCCTGTTGAATGCTCAGAAGGTGATTTGGGGTTGAATGGCCTTAGAAAGCCTTGTGTTCCGCACCTGCCCACAGCTCAAGAGAAGTACTCGGCATCATAGCAATGTAGACGTCCAGTTTCCCAGCTCTGTCGTGCCCTGATATTCATGTGCCATGGCCTGTGCCCCTGAAAGAATATCAGTACATAAGAATGTAAGAGAAGCCAATGCTGGATCAGGCCAAAGGCCCATCCAGTCCAACACACTGTCACACAGTGGCCAAAAATACCAGGTGCCCTCAGGAGGTCCAGCAGTGGGGCCAGGACACTAGAAGCCCTCCCACTGTTGCCCCCCCCCAAGCACCAAGAATACAGAGCATCCCTTGCCCCAGACCGAGAGTTCCTATCTATAAGAACATAAGAGAACCCAATGCTGGATGAGGCCAATGGTCCATCCAGTCCAACACTCTGTCATACAGTGGCCAGAAATACCAGGGGCCATCAGAAGGTCCAGCAGTGGGGCCAGGACATTAGAAGCCCTCCCACTGTTGCCCCCTCAGCACCAAGACTACGAAGCATCACTTGCCCCAGCTTTAAGAACATAAGAGAAGCCAATGTTGGATCAGGCCAATGGCCCATCTAGTCCAACACTCTGTCACACAGTGGCCAAGCATACCAGGGGCCATCAGGAGGTCCAGCAGTGGGGCCAGGACACCAGAAGCCCTCCCACTGTTGCCCTTCCCCCCCCCAAGCACCAAGAATACAGAGCATCCCTTGCCCCAGACTGAGAGTTCCTATCTAGAGCATCCCTTGCCCCAGACTGAGAGTTTCTATCTATTTGTTGTTGTTCAGTCACACAGTCGAGTCCGACTCTTCGCGACCCCATAGACCAGCTCCCGGCAGGCCTTCCGGTCTTCCGCCGTCCTCTGAAGTTGCCTTAATTTCATGTTCATTGCATCTATGACACTGTCTAACCATCTCATCCTTTGCTGTCCCCGTCTTCTTTGACCTTCAGTCTTTCCCAGCATCAGGGTCTTCTCCAGTGAGTGCTCCCTTCTCATTTGGTGGCCAAAGTATTTGAGCTTCAGTTTCATTATCTGGCCTTCCAGGGAACAGTCAGGGTTGATTTCTTTGAGGATTGACTGATTTGTTCTTCTTGCAGTCCAAGGGACTCTCAAGAGTCTCCTCCAGCACCATAGTTCAAAAGAATCTATTCTTCGGCGCTCGGCCTTCCTTATAGTCCAACTCTCACAGCCATACATGACTACTGGGAATACCATTGCTTTGACCATGCGGACTTTTGTTGGCAGGGTGATGTCTCTACTTTTTATCATGCTGTTTAGGTTCGCCATCACTTTCCTCCCAAGGAAATCTTTTAATTTCATGGCTGCTGTCACAGTCTGCGGTGATCTGGGATCCCAGGAACGTGAAGTCTGTCACTACTTCCACGACTTCCCCTTCTATTTGCCAAGGAGTGATGGGGCCGGATGCCATGATCTTAGTTTTTTTGATGTTGAGCTTCAAGCCCACTTTTGCGCTCTCCTCTTTTACCCTGAGCAAGAGGCTCTTTAGGTCCTCTTCACTTTCTGCCATTAGAGTGGTATCGTCTGCATATCTGAGGTTGTTGATCTTTTCCCCAGCAATCTTAATTCCCGCTTGTGATTCATCCAGGCCAGCATTTCGCATGATGTACTCTGCATATATATTAAATAAGCAATCACAAAGGAAAATACCGCTTTGGCGTGAACTTGATGAAACCCATCCGGACGACTTCCAAGTAAGACTTTCCTGTTAGTGAACTTCACAAGAGTAGCCGGCCAGATAAAAAGAGGGAGAGAAAGAAATGCCTGATTTATTAGGAAAAAAAACAAGACATTACTTTGGAACTGGTTTGCACTTGAGCAGCTCTGCTCGCGAAGGGAAACGGGCTCTCAGAATTTACAGGCGTAAGTGTTCCTTCTTCCTTCAGCGTCCTTTCCCCTTGTTCTCTGGCCACTCTCTCTTCCCTTCCTCCGCTTATAGACATCCGCACCCGATAGACAACGCTGGGCTTTTCTCCTACACGA